ACAGAGTTTCACCGTGTTGACCAGGATGGTCTCGATCTCTTGACCTCGTGATCCACCCACCTCGGCCTCCCAAAGTGCTGGGATTACAGGCTTGAGCCACTGCGCCCGGCTGACTCAAGTTCTTTTTGTCCCAGGTAACTTCATGTCTTAAGCCAAATAAGGGAGTCATGCTGAGTGTCAGAGATGAAACAGAGATTCTGGGGCAGAGGGTAGGGAAGTCACCTGAGAGGCCCTGTTCCCCAGGCGATCTTCCCATCGGTGGAGATTTTTGACCCCAGGCAGGCATTTACATGTCCAATAGCCACCATCAGAGGTCACTTCCCAGAAGCAGGAGGCCTGTCACCTGTTACCAGTCACAAGGCCTAAGTTAGACAAGAAGACTTTGTCTATTCCACTAGAGTGGATCTTGCTGGAAGGTGATGTGTCTGGGATTCAGAAAGGCAGGGAGAGGTAGAGGTCTCAGATCCTGGGAGGGATGGAGCCGGACCCAGGGGGAAGAATGCAAGGCCAGGAGTGAGCAGGCATTCAGGGCTCCTGTGGAGGAGAGGGCGGTCAGGACAGGAGGAGGGGCTGCCTCATGGATGATGAGGCCCGTCATCATAGCAAGGGCTGTTGTACCAGCCACTGATGAGGGTATGGCAGTGGTGTCACCAGGATAGCACGGCCCCGCCACATGGCAGTTAGGTCCTGCCTTCTGATCCAGGGCACATGCGGAGGCCACAGACTCCGGGCCAGCTAGTTAGTGCTCCTCGGGGGCCGCACAGCCCAGGGCCTATGAGTTTTGTGCATCTGGAGCTAAGGTGCTCTGCCCGAAGTGTTGGGGGTGGGCCTCAGGCAGCCAATATCCTGCTTCCTCACACCCTTCTCTTCCCTGGGGGCCTGGGCCCTCACCTAGTCAGACACAGGCCTCTGCTCCCCCACACTTACCTGTCCTTCCTGAAAGTCAGGCACTGGGCTCCACACAGGGGTGTCACAGTCTCAGCCCTGCCCCAGTCTCAGACCTGAAGCAATCCCTGGAAGCTCAGAAGAGAGAAGACAAGACAATGAAAGTTTTCCATTCAAGGAGGCATCCAGCTGTTAGTTCTGCCAGCAAAACTGCTAGCCAGAGAGCTGAAGTGCCAGTGAAAGGTATTTGGATAGAACTTTGGAGGCCATAAAGAGCAGGCACTGCAAAGCAATTGTAGCGAAAGATATGAAATGAATCTGTCACATTTAAAATGAGTGTCCTTACCACAGATCTGGCTCTTGCTGTTCCCCAGCGCTTCCCAGGGTAGCCCAGGATGCACCTGGGACGGGCATCGTAGCCTGCAATGGTCCTGCATCTGAGGGGCTCCTCCTGGGTCACCGGGCCCCTTTGGGACTGTTAGGCAGGTTTAGCCCCCAGTGTCAGCTTGTGTTTGGGGAGGATGGCTTTATGGATTCTCGCTGGCACAGGAAGCCTAGTACAGATGCAGAGCTTGAGAGAAAGGCAGGCAGAGAGAGGATCGAGGTTCTGCTGAGGCCCAAGGTATCAGCAGGACACGTCTGTCCAGCAGCCAGGTGGGGACCCATGGGCTTTTCCTAAACACCTAGCCAGGCCCCAGATAGTGCTACTCCCTGGTGCTGGGCCCTCCTTCTGGAATCTGGGGTGAACAGACCTGTCGGGTTGATTTAGCAGCAAGTGGTAGCCTTGTCTTCTGGACAAATCTTCAGATTCTACTTTATGGCACATCAAACCTGGCTGCAGTGTGCACGCCCGGGGGCAGGGAGGGGAGCTTTCTCCTTGGTCCCTTCTGTAGCTGTGAGGGCTGAGGATTAACAACCTCTTGCCCCGTTTGGGGGTGCTGCTACTCCATAGCCCTGTACCCCAGTGCTCTGGACCCCATCATTCTACCACCTTCCTGAGGGAGAGAGGTACGCTTTCCATTACACACATCAGGAAACTGAGCCTGAAGACATGCTGTGAGTCTAGAGGCAAGAGAGCTCCCATCCACAGGACCCCATGGCTATGCAGCTAGACTCCGTCAACTTGCCTTCTGCCTGGGTACCCCAAGGGCCTGGCAGTGTCAGCTCCCTTGGCTCCCACTTCCAGGCACTCGGAGGTTGGGAAGTTTGCATCTCCCTCTTGGCCCCATCAGCGGAGAGAGACGGGTGGTCCCATCGGGGTGAGAAGCAGGAAGAAGCAGGTGCTGGGCAGCCTGGAGGAGAGGGAGAAGAAAGGATTTTCTCCAAAGAGTGCCTCTCTCCCAGGCCTCCAGGGTGAGAAGGCGGCAACCCTCTGGGAGCCCAGGCTCCACAGGGCTCCTCCTGCCAAGCATCCAGCACACATGCCCCACCTCCCAGCAGGTCCTGCCTGAGGGTCTGAGGGAGCTGGGCCCACTCTAGGTCTGTGAAGGGCAGATGTGAGAGGCAGGGACTTCAGGCAGTTTCCGGCTTCTGGCCAGGGAAGCTTAGCACCCGATTCCTAGCAGGGAACTCAGTGACAGAGTGGGGGAACTCGAGGACCCCTCTGCCCCTCACACCCAGTGCCAACTGGGGATCCTCATGTGCTACTCAGAAACAGGGGAGGGACAGTCCTCCTACCCCCACGCCAAGCCCTTTTGTGTCTCATGTGAGAGCTTTCCTGGGCAGTGATTCTTTTAAATGCAAATACCTTCTATTAAGGTCTGAGTTGGTCTCCCCCCACCGCCCACTCAAACATTCCATGGAACCAGAGATCTCTGAGCAGCACAGAGTTGAGAGAACCAGCTTTGGGGTCAGATACACCTCGGTTCAAATTCCAGCTCCTCCATTCGGTAACTGACTTTGTCTGGACTCGATAACAAAATACTATGGACTGGTGGCTTATAAACAACAGAAATTTATTTCTCACAGTTCTAGAAGCTGAGAAGCCCAAGAGCAAGATGCTGGCAGATCTGGTGTCTGCTGAGGGCCTGCTTCCTGGTTCAGAGGTGGCTGTCTTTTTGCTATAACCTCGAAGATGGAAAGGGCCAGGGATCTCTCTGGGGGCCTCTTTCATAAAGGCATGGACCCCATTCATCAGGGCTCTGCTTTTGTGACTTAATCACCTGCCAACAACCCTACCTCCTAATGCTCTCATATTGGTGATTAGGTTTCAACAGATGAATCTTGGGGAGACACAAACATTCAGTCTATAGCAGGACTTAGGAGACCTTCGGCTGTTCTTTAACCACTCCGAGCCTCAGTTTCCTCATTTGTTAAATGCGAATAGTAATAGTATAGGACTTCCATCCCAGGGTTGTGGTGAAGACTGACTGAGGCAGCACAGGTACATAGCTTTGTTCGGGGCCTGGCCCACGGGAAGCATTCCATCATTGGCAGGCATGATTATTTCTGTTATTAGAGGAGAGTGGAGTTGCCCAGAGGAAGGCACCCTGGAAGGAGTAAAAGAGCATGTTAGTCTCCTTCCTCACCCCCAGGAAGACGCAGGAAAGGGATAATGTGTTTGTCTTTCTAAACCACAGGCTGACCTGTATCTTTCCTCTTTGGCCCTAGCCCGGGCACTCAGCCCTGGCTGTTAGTGCTCAGATGTTGCAACAGGCCCCGACAGCCACAGGCTGAAGGATAACCAGGAAGCACCTGCCCCACCTGATGTGCCCACTTGCTGCCCTCCCGTCCATACTGGTCTGCCAATGCCTCTGAGATGGCAGCACTCCAGGAGCCATGTCCCGTGGTAAAATGTCTGTGTGGGTGTCTCTTCCATTGCTCCTGCCCAATTTGTAGAATGGAAGTACCTGGACAACTCCTTCAACCAGAAGGTCTGTGCCAGCCGCCAAGGCTCCTCAAAGGAAGGTGTGCCTGGAGCCCCCTGGGCTCAGCACAGCAACCTGGGAACAAGGCCAGAGGGTGGCACGTGGATGCTGCAGGAGACACTGTCCCCAGACTGCTCCTGATGCTTCCTGTGCTGTTGTTCTGCCCTTTCCTCCTGGGCAGGGCTGAGCTGGGCATGGATCAGAGGAGAATAGAGAAGGGAGAGAGTCACACACAGGAATTAATCACTCAGGACCTACCCTGAATGGCTGACTCAGTGTGAATCCCCAGCTGTCTCAATGTGCGGGAAGAGCTGTCTCAATGTAATGGGGGACCGTGCAACCCAGTGCAGCTGAACCTCGTGTAGACAAGACTGGAAGTCCAGAAAACTGGCGTTGTGATGGACCTGAGAGGTTCCCTACTCTAGTCTTGTATCCAGTTCTCTGGCCTGCCCGACTGATAGTTATTCTTGAATACCTCCAGTGATGGGGGACTCATTACCTCCTTGGTCAGTCTAACTTGAGCCTCTGCCTCTCTCAAGGCCCCAAACCCACTCTAGCTCCCAAGGGGTGGGAGGAACCCAGGGTTTCCTAGAGTTAGTCTCTATAGGGTGAGGATGGGACTTGGCTAGTAGCCATTCTGGGGTACCTAAGCCTGGATTCAAACCACATTAAAGACCAGTCCATTTCTGGTAAAATTCTAACATTCATACTTTATTGTAGTTCCATTCAAAAGTACTGCTTGGAGCTGTGGTTCTGGTATGTAAGACATTTGTAGTAAAAGAAAATAATTCGCATGTGCATTCATGAATCAGTAAAAATAATTTAGGGTGTTGATTCTAGGTTAGACAATATCATGCGTTTCATTCTAGCTTTGGTTCATGGTTCATTTCAAATCCTCAGCAACCAATCTCTCCCGCCCCCTACCCGCCTCCATGCAGCACATTCTGCTTCTGTAGCCAGCATTCGGCCAGTGCGCCCATGTCCCTGGGTAACTAACCTGTCGGGGGAGCAATTCTTGTATCACCTGGTCCCCCTCCCATGGCCCCTTTACCTGAGGCCTAGCAGTCAGCTTCCTGGGTGACCACAGCAGGTCAGAGTTTGTCAAAGAGAGTCAGATCTACCGTATTGTCCAGTCAGAGGAAAGAGAAAGAATCCGTGTGGAAAAGACACAAAGAGGAGGAGGAGGAGACGGAGTAAGGAAAGGAGAACACAGACTAAATATAAGTATGTGTTGGGGATGTTGGGGACGGCAGTGAGGACCTATGGTTAGCTGACCGCCTCCCATACCACTATCCCATAGCACACAGGACCAGCATCTGCAGCTGGCACCATGCTTTCCCTAGGAAAGCTGAGGGTATCGGGCTTGTGGTGCAGCCACACAGGGTACAGACCTGTTTGGGGATGGCGGTTCCCACGGGTTGCCTGAGCTCTATTTGGTGGGTGCCTTAAACTGTGTGTAACCAATAGAGCCTGTACTGCAAAGGATTGAGCCATGAGTAGCACTGATATGTCTAAAGAATCCGTGAACAAAAATAGGTGGCCATAGTGACCTCAGTTAATCATTGAAGTCTGAGGTGCCTCACAGTGATTTTTGAAGTCCCTGCACTGTCCTTGGTCCCTACTCTGTGACACTGGCAGTCACCCAGCCACCACTTGAGGGCAGCCATTTGGAGTCCAGATGTACTGAGTTTCCAAGCCAGAACCTCCTCAGCACTCAACCAGCAAGCAGCCTCTCTCTGGGGTGATCCCTGCCCCTTCCCCCAATATAGAAAAAACCCTGTACCCCAAAAGAAACATGGTACAGGGTATCCAAGAGTGAGTCCCTTGGAATGGCCATTCTGATCTTAGGCAGGGACCACTGAGGACAAGCAGGCAGAGGGCTCCGGAACAGTCCCCAGCCTCTCCAGGGGCAGGGTGCTCCTGGAAGCTCTCTGTCTGCGCGGGTCTTTTGCTCTAGGACTTAGGCTAGAAGGTCCTCAAGACTCAGGACTGTGCAAGGTCTGACAAGGGAATTGTAATCTCTTAAATCCCGCTTTCCTGCTTGCACAAGGGGCTACCCCAGCACAGTCCTGGGGCCCTGTCCACATGGGACAGACCATCCAAAGTGCCAGGGTTTCGGACTCCCGCGTGGGCGCTCCAGGATGTGTGGGTGGACACAGGCGGCCTGGCTCAGGTCCGGGAGAGTCCGCCCGCGGCTCCGGAGGGTGCATCTGCTTTGAAAGTGAACTAGTGGATTACACACAGCCGGCGCTCAGCTGGTTCTCCAGGTCGGGTCTCTGTGCGGCAGCCACCTAGCCGTGGAGCCGCAGGCAGGTCCCCGCGGCTGTGGCCAGGCCAGGGCCCGGAGGCGAAGGGCGGGCGGGAGCTGGGGCCAAGCAGATGGAGAAAAAGAGTTGGGCAGCGGGGCGCCCCTCGGGCAGAGCGGCTCCTGGCCAAGGCCCCAGCGACCCTCGGCAAACTTCTCCCGGGCTCTGGGTTCGCCGCCGCGTCCTACCTGAGGCCACACCCTGAAATCAAAATTACGGCCAGGTGAAGCCGACGCCGCACCAACGTGTAAGCGCGGCCCCTCCTCGGCGTTCCCGCGCCGAGGTTCCTCCCGCGGAGGGCGGGCCCGGCTCCCACGGCCTTTCCGAGCGTTCCTGGGCTTCCCGCTCCTCAGGTGGGTGCCCTCGCCGCCCTGGAGGGTGGCAGCGAGGGGATGGACCTCCAAACACGCGCGGTCCCCTTCCCAGAGGTGCATTCTCCGAAGTTCGGGACCAGCCGGTCCCAGGCGAGGGGCTTTGCGCGCAGGCACCGAGAGCTCCGAGCCCCTGAAGCGGGACCTCCCTCCGCGAGCGCCCGCCCGGCGCGGGGCATTCGCGTCCCCGAGAGGGCGCAGCAGTGGGGCCTGTGAGGGGGGCTGGGTGGCCGCGCCGGGTCGGAGTGCGGCTGGAGAGGGGCCGCCCCGGAAGCGGTGCTGCGCCCAGCGTCCCCTTCTCCCCGGGAGCCCCGCGAGGAGCCTGCCGCCTCTTGCACCTGAGCCAGGAGTTCAGTCGGGAGGCGGGCGCGGGGCGGTTCCCAACGCCTGGACGCCGGCCAGTCGCAACACCCGCGGGGACACTTGCTACATTTGCCATAATGCATTTCTGATCTGTTTCTGCGCAGGCCTGCGGAGGACTGGCCCAGGAAGGTCCCAGGTCTTCTCTCTCCTCCGCGCCTCAGAGAGCAGCCCACTGAGGGGTGAGGAGTCGCGAGAAAGAGGCGGAAGGCACCAAGAGGTGAGTGAGCGGCCCTAGAGCCTTCTGCACCCATTTCGAAGAGCAGTCAGGGAGGGACAGTGGGCAGGCGGGTGGCCCTCCGGGGCTGGCTCCTTCCTGGTACTGCTAGGCGGCAGAGGTGGTCCCCCTTCTGGGTGCTGTCTCTCGATCCTTAGTGGGTGCATGTTAATTCACTTCCACCGTTTCGCCCCATGGCCCCACGGTAGGCTGGGAGACGGCAAGACTTCAAATGGCCTGCCCTGCCCCTGGGCCCATCTTCAGAGGTCTGATTGCCATCAGGTCTTATGTTTGGGTTAAGGGTGTCGCTGAGGCAGAGTGCAGGGAATTCGTGCTGGGAAAGAGGTTCCCAAACAGGAAGGGTGGTGGCAGGCCCAGTTCTCCTGCAGGAGTCACAGGTAAAGCTGCCGCTCATTCGCCACCTCTCCAGGCTTGCCGAAGTGGCATCCTATCTGGAGTGTAGGTGCTGCCAGAAGCACCAGAGGCTAAGCCATGAAGAGCTCCCCAGCGTAGGCTGCGTTTTCTGTATCTTACCCTATTCTAGTGGGTTTTGGGGGGTTTTTCTGATGTTTTTCTGGATGAGGGGGGCATAGGTTGCCACACTGGGTGGAAAAGCCGCCTGATTCCATGCAAGGTAATGGTCAGCCTGCAATGCCATGAATTCTCCTCCATAGGATATAGAACAGTGGCTGAGGACACATTTGGAGCCGAAAGAGTGGGCTTTGAATCCATCGGACTTTGCCTATGACTCCTTAGACAAGTTGCTTCACTTCTCTACACACTGTTTTTTTTTTTTGTTTT